ATTTGGTACGCCATTTTATTTTTCGAGCGTTTTATCTATTGCATTATTTGTGCTCTTACATATTGTAGTATTCTAACAACGTCATATAAAATGTTACGCAATACATATCACTTCAGTCCTCTTTACGATAAAATTTGAAGGCAAGTAATATTATGAGGTCATTATTAATATCCATGACACAATCTTGGTCATAATAGCACCCAGGCGAAGGAGCATTCACAACACACATCTTACGATATTCAAGCTTTCATTTCAAACATACAAAAATATACTACAGTTTCTATATATAATAAATAATAAACCGCTGTCATACCAATTACTACTGCAAAAAATGAAATGAATTAAAATTGTTTTTTGTACAAAAATTTATCACGAATTTGCAAGAATTTTGGATCATTTGTTAATTCAAATATATGTAGAACATTGTTTCTTCCCCATATAATATTGAGTTTACATTTATTCCAAAGAACTATTTTGCGAGCTTTTTGATTATATCAAGTTCATTAAAATATTCCGGACAGAAAACACGTAAAATAATGTCAAACTTTAGCAAATATTATCAGATGCACAGTTCGGCAATGTTTGTTTTAATATTCTGAAGTATATAAAAAAAAATTCCTCTTTCATGAGCGCAATGAACACTGCTTCGAACGTGTCACGAAAGAGACCTAGTGCAATAGTTTGATAAGTAACAAAATAACGAGTGGTTAAACATCCGATTTCCTACAGGCTGAAGAAACGCCAGTTTTACCCTCGGCCGCTTCAATGGTCAATATCTTAGAGAAAAAGAAGTCCACCATGCTTGCCGTTTACGCACTTTTTCATTCCAAGAAAGCGGCCAAAACATATTTTTTTTTAATAAAAACTAAAAATTCGACCCTAAAATAGTGCCTGAATTGGAATGGAAACATCGATATGGGCACAATCTTTTAGCGCCACACAATCCGACCGCGAGAAGCGTGCGCTTCTAAAACCACGTGCATTTGCTTAGAAGTAGCAAGCATGAGGTATGTGCAACAGCGCACAACAACGAAGACTATGGAACGGAATGAACAACAGAGGAAATATTTTTACAGCTTTCAACGTTCGTTCCTTTCCGTAGTCGTCCTTGTTTTACGGTTTTGCATTTACATCATCTTTCACTTTCGCACACTAGCCTAGCACCTAATTTTATTACTTTATTCCACTTAGCAGTGCTTTACTACAGTAGGGCTATAGTTCTCTGACTTCTGTTCCTTCCTTCAGTGTGGGCGAAGCCTCTTCTGGTTGCAACAAACTATAGCGGCGAGAAGGTTAAAATGGTTTTTCCAGCACCATGTGAGAACTTTTTAAAGGTTTTTTACAAACGCTCCTGAACCACAAAATAGCGATGTTTATTTTTTATTTTTATATAGAATGCGATGATCCCTGAGTAACGACGTTAACATGTATGGTTGTGTACTGAACTATATAATGCAAATTGATATAATGAACTAACGTTGGATCTAGAAACGTGTGCAACGTGTTACCACTTAGAAAGACTAGGACGTTTTTGAGTTCCTTGTCATTTTGAACGTCCCATTGTTGGATATCTGGGACCACTCTAAACTGTTTATTATAAAACGGCTCTCTAGCTTTCAATAATACAAAATAATGAAGAAACCTTAAAAACCGCTTTTAAGGAACGGTAAAGAAAACCGAAAAAATTAAAACCGTAAAAAAACCTAAACAAAACCCATATTAACACGAAACAGTAACGGCAACCGTAACCGAAACGTTATATTTTCGGTATGAGTCCCTCGTTCTTTCCCGTTTCATGATTGCCTGTCGCACGAGCAGCTCGCGTGTTCCCTTCCACGAGGTAGCGAGCGTGGTTGCGCCTTCGGGGCATCTTCCAACAGTTTGTTCAACGTGTTTTTATTTTGGCTCGATCGTTACCTTGGTGATCTCGCTCGAGTACTGGCTTCACTGGAATGTTTTTTTTTTTTTTCTGCCTGTACCGGCTTTTGTGTCCACGTTGGTCAGCGATCGGGGATATTTCATGTTAATTAATGGATGCCGGCCCGTCCTCATACACAACCCTGATTTCCTACTTTGGACTGACGTGACAATGAGCGTCTCAAGTGTCCGGCCGTGGGCCTTCGTAGCGCGTTACTAGTAACGAGTTACTTCTTTCTTCTTCTTAGTTACTTTTTCGGTTATGAGTAACGTATAGAAAAGGTAGCGACAACTTCTCCCTCCTCCTCTGACGCGCACAACTTTTATCTTTATGTTTTGCTTTTTTACACCCCCGCGCGTCGACTGTAGCGCCGACTGGAATTGCCCAGGATAGCAGGCGGCATTCCTATACTTGAGTCAGAGCGCAGTCAAAGGCTAAAATACACGCAAATACTTACATACAGGCTAAGAGCGCCCTCTCACGGTCTACCAGCCTTGAAGGAAGTTCCCAAAGAAAGACGATGAGAGCCATGACGTTGCACAGTCGGCGTTATTCGATTGGCGACGCGAGCCCATAGAATGCACTGCACTCCGACAGCATGGGAATTCCTTCTCCCCCCTCCTCTGACGCGCACAGTTTTTATCTGTATGTTTTCCTTTTTAACTCCCGCGCGTCGACTGTAGCGCCGTCTGGATTGGTCCAATATAGCAGGCGGTATTCTTCAAAGGATGTCGCGACTTTTCCGTATAAATGGGCTTTAACGAAGACCAGACAGAGATCCGATCAAGTCGCCGCAACCAAGGCCTACTCCCGGAATCAGGACCCTTGCCATTCAAGACCAAGCAGTCAAGGAGGACGGCGATGGACAACCAGTCATCGCAGACCCTGGCCGCCGCCGCCGTCGTATACCTTCCCGTCACACCCCGGACTCCGACGCCTTTCCACGGGTAGATAGATACACGAGGACATTGAAGACTGCAGCTGCAACAGTATGAAGGTGTAGCCCGCCACAACGGATGGACGACTCAGAATGCCTCCACAATTTCTACTTGTCGCTTGAAGGAACTGCGAGGCTCTCCTTTGAAAACCACGAAGTGTCCTTCACTACGTGGGAGTCCTGCCCCGCCGACTTAAAGCGAACGTTCCTCAACCACCACCGTCGGCAGCGAGCGAAGGACCTTCTCCAAAGAAGGGTGCAGGGCCCAACGAAAGCGTGACCAGCTTCGTTGAGGATGTCATGAGCCTATGTGCCCAAGCCGATCCGGAGGTAGCCGAGGAGAAGAAGCTTCGCGTCTTCATGCGTGGCGTGAAGGTTGACATTTTCGGGGGCATTGTCCGCGATCCCCCGACAACCGTCGACGATTTTATGGCTGAAGCCACTAACATCGAGCGCGCGCTGTCGGCCCGAGCAAGCCATTACCATCGACTCGCCGGTGTGCCTGCTCCCCCAACCGTCGCATCTTCCCGACTGGACCTGAACACCGCTGGTGTCGACGGCCTTCGGGAAATCGTCCGCGACATCGTCCGGGAAGAACTCCGCAAGATGCTCCCCGCTGAGGATCGCCCATCCTCACCGTCACTCGCCGAGGTTGTTCGAGAGGAGCCTTCCAACCTGAAGTCCCGATCGGCACGACGACGCCAGAGGAACCGACGTTGAGATACGCTTCCATGGCCCGACGACCGCCACAAGCTAACCTCCAAGCCACGGCACCACCCCGGCGAGACACTCCGATGCCGTTGCATCCTCGAGGCCCGGAAGGAGAAATCCAGTACGTCCGTCAGGAGCGACTATCGCCGAGAAAAAGCGACCTGTGGAGGATGGCCGATCGACGCCCGTTGCACTACCACTGCGGGGAAGCCGACCATATCTACCACCGTTCTTACTACCGGCAAGTAGGGCCGCGTGGCTTCCATCCCAACAATCCACGTCCACCATACGGTGAACGCTCGCGGGATATCTAAGAATACCTCCGGCGACCTCAGTCTCCCCCGCCTGCAGCTCGCCGCGTGTCCCGGTCACCGTCGCCACGACGTCCAGCTTCGCCGATGCACCGACTCCGACGTGAAAGCCTGTCGCCCCTCGCTCCTCGCCGGGGAAACTAGGCGCGGACACCCCTGGAGGTGAAGCTGCCGAAGACGACCGACGCCAAGATCCTCCACGAACGTCGGAGGGCCCCCGGTCAAACGCCACCAGAGACCGAAAGGAGGCTCCTACAACGTTAAAGAATAACCTTAACATTGTTATCGACGGCCACGACGCGTCGGCTCTCGTCGACACCGGAGCACACTACTCCGTCCTGAGTGGGAGGCTCTCCCAACGCCTTCGGAAAGTGACGACGCCGTGGGATGGCCCACACGTACGAACCGCCGGGGGACATCTTATCAGACCAATTGGAAGATGCACTGCTCACGTCGAGAATCACGGCGAGACGTGTCTGGCGAATTTCGTCGTTCTACGAGACTGCGCGAGAGACGTTATACCCGAAATGGACTTCTTGTGAGAATACGGCGCCGTCATCGACCTGGAAGACAAGTTGAGGCTGCGAAAACCTGTCATAATGCCCGAGAATCACAAAACTACGGCAGCCACGTCAGCTACAGTGCGTGTACTCTCCGACCACGTGACCTTGCCACCATGCTCTAGTGTACTTGTGCCTGTCGGGACCGAAAAAGGCATCTGCGAAGAAGCTTTGCTGGAAGGTGAGTGAGTGAGTGAGTGAGTGAGTGATTTATTTGCACTTAAATTGGTGCGCACACGGCGGCGTGCCAGGCAAGGCAGATAGGCAAAATCCCTTACGCGTGTGCGTCTGCCAGCCTGCCGCCGTGTGCGTTGGGAGTTACAGCACTACCCAGCTTTAGAAGCGTTAAAATTATGATGGAAGTGATGATGGAGGTGGTGGTGATGACGATGATGTTGCTGATGACGATGGCGATGGTGATGATTATGATTCAAGAAGAAGAGGGGGTGAGGGAGTGAAGATCATGATGGCAGCAGACGCGAAGGCATTAGTTTAGCGAATACCTTGCAAAGTTCCCGGGATTTATCGTGCGACGTGGGCAGAGGCCTACGAGAAGCTAATGGTATGGTCAAGAAGTCTCTAATGGCGGCAGGCAGCAGGGATTCAGTGTGACGAACAGTCCTGCCTCGAAGAAGTTCGGGCTGACCTGATCTTCTACCGAGACGTACGGCTGCCGATAGGCGAGTCCCCGAAAGAGATCCGTCGAGCAATCGGCACAGCACGCGAACTCGAGAAATCCGCCGTCTCTGATCGAGGGGCCGCCAGCCAAGGGTTGTGAGCCGTGTGTGGTGCGGCACGTCGGTCGTGCCAGGGGACCAGGCGCAGATTTTACGGGTTGCGCGGCGCTGCACACTCTCCAGTGTCTCGATTAGGTGTTGTTGAGGGGGAGACCAAACTGCAGAGCAGTATTCCAATGAGGGCAGGACTAAGGACGTATATAGTGCCTGCAGGACCGCCGGCCCACCTGGCCTTGCGACGCGGGTGATGAAGCCAAGCGTCCTGCGGGACTTCGCGATAACGCCGGCAATATGTACGGAAAAATCCAAGTTTTGGGAAAACGTGACACCCAAGATGGACAGGTGGTCTGATGCGGGTAAGGGAGTGCCTTCTACAGTATATACAGGGCTTGTCGGTTTTTTGCAGTTCGAGAAGCGTATCACGGAACTCTTTGATGCGCTCAGGCTTAGGTGTTGTCTCGAGATCCATCTCTCTATATCTTCTAGATAGCTTTGCAAGTGACGTGCGTCAGACTGAGACGAAATTGTCGTCGCGATCGATGTATCGTCTGCGTATTGCACTAGAATACACTTGTCGTTGCGTGGCATGTCGTTCACGTACATGAGAAAGAGCGTCGGAGCGAGGACAGAGCCCTGTGGCACTCCTGATGAGATGACCCTCTCTGTAGAGCGTGCCCCAGAGTACACAACTTGTTGGCTGCGGTTCCGCAGAAACCTTGATATCCAGGTGAATAGGAAACCGTGTATGCCTGCGTCTGTGAGCTTCTCAAGCAGGAGATTAATGTCGACCCTACTGAAAAAAACCATTTGAAATTCAAACGGGTGGCAAACTGGTCGCCCGTTTGAATCAAACCTGTCGATCCGTTTGGATCAAACGTGATTATGGGATACGGGTACCCGTTTGGAAACGGTACCCGTTCGAAACGGTACCCGTTTGATACAGGTGCCCGTTTGATACGGGTGCCGTATGGTACGAGTACCCGTTCGACATGGCACGTGACCACACGTTTGAACGTGCCCTTCGAAATGGCAAATTATGCGCTAGCCCTAAATGGGTATCGTCTGGGCGGTTGGTTATCTTAAACATATTTAAGACGTCCCGAAACTCATAAACGTATTTATAACATGGAGAAAACACGTAGAACAAATGCACTCGCGTAGGTGCTTGTAAGTGGACAGGAAAACCGACACAAAAGATTGTTTTCAATTCTCCTCGAAGTTTATTACCTCTTCTGTAGACAAGTACAAACGTGCAAGCGATCTGTGAACACTATACAGGTAGACTTTCGGGGAAATTATTCTCCTGGCTGCCGCGCGAATAGGCGCTGCATAATTCTTTAGATAATTTAGAAGAGTACGCGTAGAAGAACGGTCAATCGTTGCCAACATGTAGGTTGCAGTGCACTTACCATAACAATAGCAGATTTGAAAGAGGTAATCCGTGATATTTGTCGACACGGTCAAAGCAGGACAACCACACGAACACAAACGAGAGGGAACGGCTTCTTGGAAGTTTCAACACGATGCGGCGCACAAGCTGTCATTTGCCGAACCCAACCAAACCGCGAGAATTTGCGACTTCTTTGAAGAATCGCTCGTTGCCGACATACACGTGGGTCTTTTCGAACACTGATAGCTTTGGTGCACATCCAATACGTTGTCGAGAGACATCCCAATAAGACCGCAGGGTTAGGCGACAGATTGAAGCAGGTAGGACGAGCGAACTTCGAGCAGCAACTGACAACAAGCAGACAAAGAAAAAAGCGGCTGCAAGGCGCGCCCTTCCGGATCTCGATGCTTATCAGCGTGTAGCTCGCGCGCTGCTGTGGGTCACGTGACAGGGGTGACAAGAGAGGAGGGAGGGGGCGAGGTCAAGGCGCTGGGACCACCGGGACGGCCCCTCTCCCTCTCCCCAGGCATTCCAGGGAGATGCGTTTTTGTAGTCCCGAAGAACAAACGCGCGCGCGCGCGCGCGCTCGAACTTTGGAAATGGCGGCGGGGCTGCCAGAAGCTCGGCTTGCGCCCGAGCGAAGAAAGAACTCAGCGCAAGCTCGTAGTTTGAGTGCTGCAACGGCGTGCGTGCTCTCGCAATGCTCGATGTTCTTGCAGCCGCGTGTACGCGTGGTACCTTCGCTGCGTCTTGAATTAAAGTGAAACGGAGTCTAGACGTACATTCTTTCACGCGGTCGCGTCTTCTGCGAGAGAGATTCGAGCTGAATAAGTAAATTGAGGCAACAAAGATGGACAAAGTATTAAAGGTCTGTCAAAAATATCGGCTCACCAACGTCGCGCGTTTACGTAAAACAAAAAAAAAAGGTGTTAGTTTTAGTTGCAGTATGATCGAAAATCAGCGTAATTGAAATATGAATATAATTACTTGCATTAAGCGGACGATCTGAAATCGATGAACCGGCGCTCCCAGCCTTCCGGAAAACATTGGCTGCCACGGCTGAAACGCTAGGCGTGCCCACGCCGCCGATCTGTACGTTCAATATCAAACGGGCTCCGGGGAGCCGTTTGATTAAACTGGTGCAGTTTGCAACATGGTCGCCGGTTTGAGCAAACGTGCGACAACTTTGCCCAAACGAGTCGCCCATTTGCCCAGACGAGCGACCCGTTTGCCAAATAGGTGACCGTTATGGCTCATACGGGGGACCCCTTTGAGCCATACGGGCGACCCCTTTGACAAACTGGTGACCAGTATGGTTAAACGGTTACCGGTATGGACCCGTTTATTTTCATATGGGCGCCAAATGGTTTTTTTCAGTAGGGGAGCGTATCGAACGCATTGCTTAGGTCAAGTTGGATTAGATCTGTCATGGTTCGATTATCCATGTGATCACTGATAAAATGGGTAATAGTTGCCAGTGCTGATTCGCAGCTGCGACCTCTTCGAAAGCCGTGCTGACTGTCGGAGAGATAGCCGGATTCTTCAAGGTGGTTGAGAAGCTGGCCGTTGACTATCCTTTCAAATGTTCGACAGACAATCGAGGTGATTGACACAGGACGGTAATGTTTTGGTTCATTCGTCGGCTTCCCTTTTCCTTTGTGTAGCGGAGTGACCAAAGCTCTTTGCCACGTTCCTGGCACAGTACCGCTGTCGAACAGCCCTTGCAGAATCTGGCACGTGGTCGGTAGCATTAGCGGACAGAGCCGTTTGAACCACGTCGGCGCGATACCGTCTGGACCGCAGCTGTGAGAGGGCTTGATTTTGGAGAGCGCCTCCTGTAAAGACTCGGTTGTGAAGGACACAGTGTCAAGTTTCGACTGGGCGAGGCTTCCCACCCTTGTTGTCGAGGGTCGCGCTCCGGGGATGTCGGGGGCATCAGCGTAATGCTCGTTGAGCAAAATCAGTCCAGGGTGATTCGGGGATGGGCCATTGTTGTTTATAGAGGAAAAGTGGTCGGCGAAAAGATTAGCGATCTCTTGTGGGGAGTCAGCCATCTTGCCGTGGACGACGAAACATGGTCGCTGGGATGAATGGCGTAGGGATCTAGTGTAGTTCCAGAAGACTTTCGGATCTTTCTTAGCCCTTTCAGCAATATCGCGAATGTAGTTTTGGTGGGAGATGTAGATCGTAGCCTTAAGTGTCCGTTGGTGATCTTTTGCCAGTTGTAGAGTGGCAGGACACTGGGATCGGCGTGCCCGCCGAAACAATGATCGCTTGATTCGCGCGGCCTTGATGATGTCGGCTGTGATCCACGGCGAGTGTTTTCGCTTTGATGAGCGGACGGAGCAAGGAACACATTCCTTCTGAATGGCGACCATGAAGTCACACCACAGGTCATAGTTGGATAACCAGTCTGATCCTGCGGAGGTCATACACCACGGTGCCAGGTGAGCCAATTGCACCATATGATCAAAGTCAAGTTGCCGGAACCCCCACAACATTCGAGCGTAATGCCCTGTGCGCGGCAATGAGACTGCGTAGCGAAGTTCCACGGCTTTGTGGTCACTGCCGTGGAGGCCTTCCGATACGTCAACGGCTTCGAGGCTCGTCTGGTTGGAAACGAGCACCAAGTCAAGAAAGCTTGGTGTACCGTCGTGGGTCGTATACGTTGGTTGTTGGCATGCTTGGGCCAGGCCAGCGGCGCTCATAGTCTCAAGGAGGACGTCGTCGGAACGGTCGCGAGGGACTGGGTCCCCGTAAGAAAGCCAGTCAATGTGCGCATTGAAGTCGCCGAAAAGAAGTATGTTTGCATAAGGTTTAGATGCGGCAGATTCCAGGGGTGCTTCTAGTAGTCTATAGGCTTCCTCTCGTGAAGCGGGCGGGCAGTAAATGCAGCCCACAAGGATGGTTCCACGAGGGAAAAAAAACTCAACGAAAAGCGCTTCGAGGTCCTTGTGTTCGAGGTCACAGCGGCGATTAACGTGGATGTTCGATGGAATCGCCATTAGCACACCTCCACCTCTGCCACCTCTGTCCTTGCGAAACACGGTGTATGAGTCGAGAGGAAGTAACTCGCTGTCGGCGACACTCGCGTCAAGCCATGTCTCGGTTAGCAGGATGGTCGAATACGGTGGGAGGGAGGAAGCAAGTGACTGAAGGTCTAAAATCTTGTTTTTTACACTGCGGCAGTTATTATACCAGAAAGTGGAAGATCTGTTAATGCCCGTTGGCTTTGAGTGCACAGATGCATCGGGCACACTGGTTGTGGCACTCGTGTCGATGCTAGAGGGGCTTGTGCATTCTGATAGCTCAAAAAACGAGTCGTGAAAAGGGGGCAGTTGGCACGAACCACAGAACCAGGATTCTGTTGAGGCTGACAGTCGTCGGTACACAGGAAGAGGTATGAGCTCGCATTTCCGGTGTACCCATCGTCCACAGCCGTCACATTGAAGAGCCGCGACGTTGGCAGATACTATTCTTTCACATCGGCAGCAGGTGCGCCTGGGACCAGGGTTGGACGCGATATCACCAGAGAGGACAAGACACCAGATGGCAAGATTCCGGGTACTGCGGCAGGAGAGTAATGAGAAAGTCGGGAGACGGCGTTCATGATGTGTCTGGGCACAGACCTTCGCCGGCACACCAGTCGACATTGGTCCAGTGGAGGTCCGGCACAGAAGAGCGCTGATCCAAATAATATCTTCGTTTAAATGTGCAAGGGAGCCGGCGCGTGTGCTCCCACTTTGTTTAAATGAAGCGACAGCACCGAGGAAACGGGAGTGAATTGCTGAAATTACTGCGAGCCCCACTACGAAGCGTTGGAATGGTGACATCTTGTTAGTTGGAGAGGTTAAAAATACCACCTGGGTTGGGGTTATTCGTCAATGGTCTCGCTCGTCGGGCGCTCGTCGCTGACCATGTATCGGTCAGCGAGGCATCCGGTTCAGCGGGTAGGAAGCAAGGAGGTGGCGTCCAACTGCTCCTAGGAAGAGGTATCGGCGTCGTAGGTGGCATCGTGGAGCTCCAAGGCGGACGCACTGTTGCACACTTAACAAACCTCCGACAGGAGGCTTAGCACCTCACGAAAGGCACCGGCATGGTTCACGCTGAGGAACTCCCCGACTCAGCCGCAATCGACGGAGTATCAGAAGCCCTCTCTTCGTGGTCCTTCACGAGACAACGCCGCCTTCGCGATGTTGTCTCGTGTTCCAACCCTGCCTACCCCACAACGGCAACAACTCAGTGACCTTCTC